TCGATTGGATGTATCCACAGCGGTACACGCGTAGACCGATAGGCAAACAGAATAAGCCAACCGAGCTGTCGGTGACGTGCTGAGAAGCTTCTGTGTGAAAATGGGGGTTTGTTGATACCACCTCTTATAGTTTGCTATGAACAATTCAGCTCATTTACTCAAATTATGCCGTTTTTTTCATAAATGGCCTGCAACACCAGCAAGTGCCGCTTTGTGCGATGATTGATGTCTCTGATGTAAGTTGAGGAGGAGCTCGGTATATCGTTGCCTCTCAAATTGATATAATCAATGGTGCAAATGTAAAGCGCAAGTACAAGAACGACCTGGACAAATTCATTAAAGTCGGGCGAATTTGATCTCACATGTGCGAGTTACAATGGCCAATGCACAAGATTGACAGCAGAAATACGCAGACAGACGAGGTCGTCTAGGAAAATGCATTCTGTTGTTGTGTGTTATGTACTACTTCATTGTGACAACAAGATTTCCAACCTGGATGTAACACAGGGTATTACCAATGAAGCTTCGGAGCCACAGCGTCGGCAAGAGGGTCAAAAGTTGAAATTTAGGTGATCGAGGTATTCGATCGCGCGTCGAATCTGCGACAACGCGTGAAGGATACTAGACGTGTTGTTTGCAAAGTTAGCGATCTTGCATAGCGTTGTGGAAACTCGCTCAGGAATGCAATCGAGAGTCGGGGTCGGATTCGGTGATCGAAGCAGGCTCTGCAACTATCCCTCCTACTGGGACTGCTGCCGCTGATGATGTAGAGCCTCCTGTCAGGCGACCTCTTGTGCGGGTTGATATTCTTTTCGTAACAATCGCAAACTCGATCAATCGTCAATGTTCCGACTCTCGTGATCGTTCGTTTGGTTCGAAAGTTAGCCGTTATTCTCGTTATTTCGAGGACGATGCTGAGGCAACGGCGCCAAAGGCCGTTCCACACATATGTGATTTTCTCCATCTTTGTCAATCGCAATTTCAAACCCGACGAACACTCTTTTCCATCGACAGGGAAATCGATCGATAACGTGGTGGCAGAGAGGACTATTCGCGGTCGAAAGGATCTTTTTGTAAAATGGCTGGGTTATTCAGCAAACGAGAATACGTGGGAGCCTCGGAGTCGTATTCTTCGCGACTATCCCGATATCGATCTCGCGATCAACGAGGGCCCAATGACGGACTTCGCTTAGGCGATCCGTCTCTCCCTCTTCCTTCTCTCCCCCTCTTGTCGTGGATTCGACTAATGACCGTACATACTTCGCAAGCATCTTCGAAATCGGAGTGAACCGATACTGCGCTTTCAAATGAGCAAATTACAAGCGCATATCGCTTGTGATTAACATGCCTCGAGCGGCATTCGCATTTGCAAACGGGAGACATTCACGGATTCGGTTGAAAGACCCATAGTGTTGATTGTCTGGAGGGAATACATTTTGGATTGCTAGATGTACGATACGTACATGAGACTTTGTGGATTCGTCCAGCACATGTCATCGGTATTCAAGCGGTTCAAGTTATCACTCGAGCTTTCATTATACTGAAGAGATCGTCAAAATCTAAAGTGGCACCACCATGTCGGTCTTAATATTCGTGAATAATGTTAATCTCAAGGTAGGGAAAATAGACTGGACGACCGAACTCGCCAATGAGTTCCTCGCTAAAATTGTCATCTGCCCAAGCAGGTCGTTTGATGCCAGGATTTGGCTCAAAGTGCGAAAGCTCTGTTTGGCGTGAAGCTAAAGCATTATTCAAGTTCGATGGTGGCGAAGGTGCCTTCTCATCCTTGGATTGAGGTGCGGTTTTGCTCTGTGTTAGGCGTCGGCGCCAGTCGTCTTAAATGCATTTCACTTTGTGTGGGATCACGGATACCGAGTCTTAGAGTCGGAGAAAGCACACTTCTGAGTGGGGTGTGGTATAATGGGTTAGTCCTTTCACACATGTTGGGTGGACCACATACTCTTATGTATGTAATTAGCATTAAGTATAGACTTTGCCAAAATTGTATAACCCTCAACTCCGTTATATCAGAATTTAAGGCGATTATCACTTCATGAAAGTAAGCTCTGTTGGCCATAAAAGACGTCACTTCAACTTTTCCTCCTCGATCACGAAATTCAACGTCTCGCTAGAAGTGAGCAACACGCGGTGAAGCGTGCTAACTGATGTAAGTCTTCTTCAGTAAGTCCTTGTTTTCGGACGGGCAATTACCGTTGCTAGGTTCATCATATTTAGCGCCATCATTTGGCTTCCATCTACTGCATGTGAACTAACCCTTTCTGCTTGAAACTGCATTTAGTGCATTATGCAACGCTTTTATGAAAGAGGTTGTGTGGATGCGGGTCATCCAAGTTTGAGCCACATCCGTATGAATACCCGCCATTAAGATATTACTCTTTACCGATATCTTAAGAAGATCGACTGCTTATTCTGCGTAAGAGCTCTCAGCTCCTGCACATAATCCGCTAATTCTTTCCTTTGTTGATGGTAGACAGGGATGTCTATCGCGCTCGAATTAAGTACAAACAGTTGCTACATATGTCATTCCATACTTCCCATTGTGCAAATGCCTCGTCAACAGAGGTTCCACACATTAGTCCTCACTCCGGTGCGCGGTCTCCAACTATGGACGCCGCTAGCGTAAAGCATTGCTGCTCGATCTGGAGCAAACCCGAATTCATGGCTACCTCAATCATCCGTATGCTCGAAATTTCTTTGCCGCCTCCTCCTGGCGATTGGTAGTGCTCCCACAGGCGCCAGGTTAAGACGTTTCTGGGGCCGTCTCACCAACACGTTTCGGAGCTGGTGAACACTTTAGGCAAGTAATAAACGCTGATAGCCCTGGGGCCACCGCTGTAACTGAATATGAAGTTATATGCTCAATAATCGTGCTTGTTGTCTTAGGCACTGATCTGAAAAGGTGTTGATTGAGTCTCAACCGATGGGTATTATGTTCCATCTTTACTCTTATTCCGACTTGGTTGTCGGATTGACGACAAATCCTAACAAAGTAGACGGTGTAGCCGTGCACGTCGCACAGAGGAAGCTTTGACTCATACAAATTCGCATTACCAAACGTGAAGAGGATAGGTTTTACCGGATACCACCCAGGCGCTGAACAGAGAGCCTCATAAGTACCAGACTTCTACTTTACACTTGCGCAAATTCAGAGTTTTATATATTTAAAACCGAAGTTAGCTAAAGTGATGCATGATGTTTTCATCTTGTTATCTATAATCTAGAGCTGAGATAAAATATCCTGTGAGTCTAGCGCTTCATGTGTCCGCGACCTCTCAATCACGAGAACGAACACCCTTATCCGTACTGAATGCTAATACTTCATCATAGTACACGACTTTGCGCCTTCTGAGCTTCGCACAATAGTTTACTGCGTACATACATCTTAATAGGTAGGGTACGTACCTGTGTTAAAGCGAAATTTTATTACTATTTTGATTGTAATATTAACCCAAGCTTCTATAGCTCTAAATTAAAAAAAAATAAGTTTAAAGTACTTGCTACTTGAGAGAATCTGACATCCGCATACTATGCATGCTTAAGAATTATCTTCTATGCATTGATTAATGTAATTCTGCAATTATAAAAAAACTCCTTCTGTGCTGGGTTGCAGTTTCAGCACGTTTCAAAGACTCATATGTAAGAATATCCATGTATATTATAATTCAAGGATTTGTAGACGTCCACTTTCCGAACAGGGAGATAGTAACTTTAAGCGCTGCCACGTGGGGCAATTTACTACTCATTACTATGATGGATGTACGCTGGGTTCTTCGACTTCTAGAAAAGGAGAGCAGGCCTCTTGCAAATTTCTAAGCTAAGCAGATTTTAGGTATTAACACTTTTCTTGCTCCTGTAGAGACAACTCTTGATAAATACTGTAAGCTTCGTCTCTTACGCGTGAAAGGAAATTCAATACCCCATCCCTTACGTCTATTGTATCGTTTTTGGCCCAAGATCAGCTAAGATCGTTTTGTTGTCAAAATGTGTGACATTCCTTGAAAAAATAATCGTAAGACTGAGAGTATTCAGGTACATGTACAATACTAAACATATGAGTAGTAATCACCCGTAACTGCGCCGCGATCCTTCAACTTACCACGAATAATAGCAGTAGGTCTACTGTTGTTAGCTCGAAGCAGAGAAAAGTACTTCTTGAAGTACTACATAAAGATAAAATTAAAGGAGTACCAATCAATATCCCTATCCCTAGAATCAAAGCGTAATCGTTCCAGATGTGATACCCGCTGGGTAAAGCATCAATTTCTAACGAGACACACTCGCGCTTACTACGCAGCTGCGTAATGATCTTTTTCTGATGGTCGCATGATTTATAATTATTCGGAAAAAGTCAAAAGTTATCAATGATGTTTGGTTGCTTAGCTGTCAGCAAGGAAGCTGAAAATTTACCCGTATTTGGCTCTGTGGTCACATTTACGAAGATTTACTTTGAGAAATAATTAAATTTGGAACAGCTGGTTATATCTGCCTTGTATACTTTTGTCGTCGCAACAGGGCACCGTCAGATCGTGCAGCGGCGTAGTTGCCTGAGCAAAGTATTCGGCCCAACATCTAGTAAATTCCCGTAAATATGGTATCTGACAGATTTTCAAAACAAAGTGTCGAATTTGCTCACCATGTAACTTAGCCCAGATTCATTGCAAAACTACAGGAATACAAACACGCAGCAGCAAATGCAATGTCGCTGCGGTACCAGAAGCATCCCATCCCACAGCTTCAGCCTCTTTATCACGAACTTTTTACAACAACTCGAAAGCGCGAATGTTGATAGCCACTGTCGTCAGGAGTGAGGCAGAGATGCCTTCTGTGAGCTTAACCATTGATAAAGTTGAAGGGCGGTGGTATGACAAACGGCTTTTATTGAACAAGCTGCAGCACAGCAAGGCACACAACCTAACCTCGTTCTACTGTGTCAGGGCATCTGACTAAGACCATGATTTTCATTTTAGCAATTGTCTGCAATGTTGAACACCCAAGTGTGCGACGACGCTCCGTCCACTCTATTGCTCGAACACGCTTTGGCCTTCGTGGATGCCTGCAATATCGAGAGTGATGACGAGACACGAGCAATCGAGTACGACCAAGAACTGGAGGCGCTGCTTGCGGAAGTACCAGATGCGCTTTTGATACAACTGTCTAACACACCAAAGTCGCCGCAGGATGTGCAACAGCCAATCGGCGAACCTACTGGACTTTTATTGAGCCCCAAATGCTACGCTGATTCCAACTTGTTGGAAAGCGCAATTGCCTCCCTGTGTACGCACAGCGATACATCTAGTAGCAGCAGCGATGATGGAGTTGATACTCAATGCGTGATTAAGGGGAAAACTTCCGAAGAACTTCGAATTAAGTCGCGGAAGAAGATGAAACGAGCACGAGCGCCATCTCCTATTAGAACTGCCAAAGATTTTGCAGCTGCAAACGCAGCGATTGCCGCTGCCGCTGCTGGAATTAACGCGTTGACGGATGACACTATGAAGCCTACAAATAAACGAATTCGGAAACAGAGAGAAGAGCTGTTGTATCTTCGTGTCAAAGTCAAGGAGATGGAAAATACGCTGGCGGAGCTTAAGCGTAAGGAAACGCGGAGCTTGTCGCCAAGTAGCAGCTATAAGCAACGTATGGTTGGCGACTCCGATAGCTTCTCACTTCTAGCGTCCATATGGAGAGATCTAGCGAAACGACAGCACAAGGATAGGGAACGTGCTGAACATGAGAATCGCAAGCTCAAATCAATTTTAGAACGACAGCTCCAGCTGACGAAGTGCCTCAAGAAGATTTTTGAGACTCGGCCGGGAGACGACGTATGTTCTTAAAAACGGGTGAAAGAATTAATATAGACTAATATTTTGTACCAAGTCAAAATTATGATATTTCGTGCATCCAAGTTGTGATCAAAAATTTATAGGCGGTAACTGTTGAAGAGCAACAGTAAAATGCTTTTGTCGCCTTGCACCTCGCAATGGACGTCTGATGAAGGTCGTGCGGCAGATTTCATCGCAGTTGGCTACTAAATGTACGCCTATGTCTGGACGAGGTAAGCTAACGTCGATTTCAATGGCATCAATTACAGAAGTAGCAGCCTTTTTTAAGGTCGCAGACGTGATATTCGTATTAGTTTTTTGGGTGGGCTTTTAATGTTTATGTGCTGTGTTACAAATTAATAGAGCTGCATAAGATCCTGACATGTTCTTAAACTAAGATGATATTAGATTTCGAAACTTCGTTACGTTTGAAGAGTGTATTTGCCGTAATGACTCCAAGCCGTTAAAAAGCTACAAGGGCGAGCTGACTTACACGCATCATATTGTATCATAGCCCCTCCATTTTAGAGTACCGCCCGCACCAGTATTTGCCAAGGCGCTTTATCTAGTAGCATGCTTTCGAATCACTATATGTCCGAGGGACAAAAATGTATGGTGTACGTACACTATCCCTGCCTTGTACCAAGCAAGACTCACTATTTTAAAGACGTTGCCCATCGCAAACGCTCATTGAGCGTCCACTATACCACGAGTTTATTACTGCACTCATTAGTGCTTGATCTTCTACACTTAATCTTAGCCAAAAGGCCAAGAAGGTATTGGGCTTGATCTTCTGGGCATAACATGCAAAGAAAGATCTCTTCTTTACGTGCTCAAATGTTTAATGATTCTTTCCAATTATGTTATCAACATAATTAATATACCAAGTGATCTACTTGGAAAGGGCCGGTCCTCATAGTCGACGATTTTCAAGCTTTACGCAATGAATCAGCCAATGTATCCTCCAATGACACTTTCAACTGTAATATATTGACTAGTAAAGTTAAAATTTATCTCAATTAGAAATCTGCCTTATGAACTAGATTTCAAAGATTTAAAGTTAAAGTTTTATGATAACGTTTCAAGATTAGTAGCGGTTGGTATTGGATACAGAAAGATGAGGTCCCGGGCGTCTTTCGTATTTGCCTTGATGTCTGCGCTCGAGGTGCGCGGTATCACCGTTGTCGTCCCTGCCTAGTTTACACTTCGACACATGGTGTTGGAGCCACGCTACATCAGCTTTATGCTCCTGGTGCGCTTAAAGCGCCCAGGCTAAGCAATACCATAGCACAGCTTGAAGATTGCATCCGAAACGCGACTAATCCAGTAATAGCCACGCGACGAGAATCTCAAAGCGAGCTGACGCGTCGTCACAATCGAGAATGCGTACGACAGCCAGCCACAAGAAAATCATCGTTGGCACCTCTTGAAAAGCAAGCGGTGGTTGAATTAAACGTGCCCGGACTTGGTTTGTAGCTGCACATATGTGAGCAGAGAAACGAACAGGGCTATTGAGAGCAAGAATTAAAGGTGGCAAGCATACACCTCCACAACTACGTCGTACTTTATCGAGTAAAGTCTGCAGCTTGCAGTTTGACATCTTCTCCGATGAAGTTGATTTGCATAGCTATGAGACGGATGATGTGACCTTTCTCCTCCAGCTAGTGTGATAAATGAAAGCAAAATATTCTTTACTTCGCCAGCGTCTGGTATTAAATGCATGTTTTCTCGGAGGGTCCGACCCCGCTGTGTGTAAGCAATGTTCTTTATAAATATTATTTCGGTGGAGTCAGAAAGCTCTTGCAGAACACATATCGAGTGCTCAGTTCGGTCTCTGTTTCGGTGCATGTCCCCACAAGTTCCGGCGTTTCAAATCTGGGCTCCGGCTTAACGGGCAGTAGTAAAAGCGGATACACAAGAAATTTCAGTTCTATCATTACCATGCGCTTTTCCGTTGATTTCAGCTCGATTTGCACTTCGTGCAGGAGGTGGATCATAGAGAGCGTTTCAAGCTCGAAGAGATCCCACATACGGGAATCGGCTTTACTCGTATCTCTTCGTGAGATCAAAGGCTCCTAGTCGAGACTCTGAGGGCCACTGTGTCCAATGTCTACCTACTCGGCCCTGACTAAGATATTACACTGCTTTATTCCGCTGGGTTATTATTTTCTTGATTTTAATTCTTGATTTTTCTTGTACGAGTCGCCATCCCGAAGTTTTTATTGGCTGTTGTCGGTAATATTT